ATCACATGGTATAAAAATGATAATTTCTATACTCATGAGCCATAAAAGCTTTGAAAACATCTACAGCATCTGGTTGGTTTAGAATCATTCTTATATAGTCAAACCAAACCCAGAGTCAGCATTGAGTTCTGGAAGAATCTGGGGAAACATCCAGGGAGGCCTTAGGAGAAAACCTAACATTTAGCGGAGGGTGGTCAATAACAGGAAAGACCAGTGACAACTAAATCAGTTTTGAAATTTGTCCTTTTTTCCTACCCAAACTGCCTTCCATTTACTATTCATTTTTCTCTGGCCAAAATCAAATGGTTGCAGAGAAAAAAACTCTTCTATTAACCCTACACAGCATGTTTGCAATGGAAAAACAGCACCATTTTGCCCTTAACCCCAAGGCTCAGGAAATAGATGTGCAGAGAAAAAAACTCTTCTATTAACCCTACACAGCATGTTTGCAATGGAAAAACAGCACCATTTTGCCCTTAACCCCAAGGCTCAGGAAATAGATGAAAAGGGAGACAAGTGATTAACCCAACAGCCTGAATAAATGAGAATCCTTCAGAGGACAGATAGGGAAGCATCTGCGCCCAAAAGGATGAAATCTGTGTGATGGAGCTGAGCATCTCCTCAAGCCAAGGAATGAGTTTCTCACTGATACCTTTAAAAAGAAATGGAAAAATTCACCAGATGAGAAATGGCTAGGGATGCATCTAAGCAGAGAGCCATCGACGTCCTTCCTTCCTTGGAGCAGGAGAAGGGCAGATCTTTTCCTTCCCCCCCTCCAAGAGATGAGTTGATGGCATCTAACTAGAAAATGTCTTTCCAAACTCTCTGCTGTGAGAGAAGCAAACCCTTACCCAGAGAAGCCACGTTCCTATAATTTTCCAGCATGACTTCCCAATGCAACGTTTTTTGGTGAGGATCCAGCTGAGATCGCTCCTCCTCGGAGAAATACACAGCCACCTCCTCAAAGGACACAAGACCCTCCTGAACAAGGAAAAAAAGAAAAGAACAGGCCCAAGAGGATTTGCAAGATCTGTCCTATTCTTCAGAAATTCCCAAAGCAAAGATATGTACTAAGTTAAATGGCAACCCTTGGTGGGATTCCAAGGT